ATCCCATATCCCCATTCCAAACCATTTTGGGGACCCACATCCCCCGCATCCCCACATCCCCCATATTCCCACATCCCACATCCCCACCCCATCCCAATTTGGGGACCCCCATGTCCCCATTTGGGGTCCCCCATATCCCCACGTCCCCACATCCCCACATCCCTCACCCCATCCCAATTTGGGGACCCACATCCCCACGTCCCCACATCCCCACCCCATCCCAATTTGGGGACCTCCATGTCCCCATTTGGGGTCCCCCATATCCCCACGTCCCTACATCCCCACATCCCCACATCCCTCACCCCATCCCAATTTGGGGACCCATCTCCTCATATCCCAAAACCAGTTTGGACGCTGGTCACTTACTGATCCCGAGCAGGACGAGCAGGACGCCGACGGTCCTGGGGGCACCCATGGGTGCTGCTGGGCGTACTGGGAGCACTGGGAGCACTGGGAATGCCGGTTTTATGGCTGGATAAGATGTGCCAACGCTGCCCACGCTTTCGACCCAACCCAGGTGTGGCCGCCCACAGTCGGGTGGGGTTTGGGGTTGGGTTGGTCCTATTGGGGATGTATCGGCCCCATTGTGGTCCCTATGGGGTCATATAGGTCCTAGAAGGGATGTATTCCCATTGGGAACATCCTGATCCCATTGGGGACATCTTTGTCCCACTGTGGTCCCATTGGGGTCGTATTGGTCCCACTGGATTTGGGTTGGTCCCATTGGGAATGTATCGGCCCCATTGTGGTCCCAATGGGGTCATATGGGTCCTAGAAGGGATGTATTCCCATTGGGAACATCCTGGTCCCATTGGGAGCATCCTGATCCCACTGGGGACATCTTTGTCCCACTGTGGTCCCATTGGGGTCATATTGATCCCACTGGGGTTGGGTTGGTCCTATTGGGGATGTATCGGTCCCATTGTGGTCCCTATGGGGTCATATGGGCCCTAGAAGTGATGTATTCCCATTGGGAACATCCTGATCCCATTGGGGACATCTTTGTCCCACTGTGATCCCATTGGGGTCATATTGATCCCACTGGGGTTGGGTTGGTCCCACTGGGGATGTATTGGCCCCATTGTGGTCCAATGGGGTCATATAGGTCCTAGAAGGGATGTATTCCCACTGGGGACATCCTGATCCCATTGGGGACATCCTGGTCCCACTGTGGTCCCATTGGGGTCATATTGGTCCCATTGGGGACATCCTGGTCCCCCTGTAGACCCATTGGGGTCATATTGGTCCCATTGGGATTGGGTTGACCCCATTGGGGATGTATCGGTCCCATTGTGGTCCCAATGGGGTCATATAGGTCCTAGAAGGGATGTATTCCCATTGGGAACATCCTGATCCCATTGGGGACATCTTTGTCCCACTGTGGTCCCACTGGGGTCGTATTGGTCCCACTGGGGACATTCTGATCCCACTCTGGTCCCATTGGGGTCCTATTGATCCCACTGGGGTTGGGTTGGTCCCACTGGGGATGTATCGGCCCCATTGTGGTCCCAATGAGGTCATATAGGTCCTAGAAGGGATATATTCCTGCTGGGGACATTCTGATCCCACTGGGGACATCCTGATCCCACTGTGGTCCCATTGGGGTCATATTGATCCCACTGGGGTTGGGTTGGTCCCACTGGGGATGTATCGGCCCCATTGTGGTCCCTATGGGGTCATATAGGTCCTAGAAGGGATATATTCCTGCTGGGGACATTCTGATCCCACTGGGGACATCTTTGTCCCACTGTGGTCCCACTGGGGTCGTATTGGTCCCACTGGGGACATCCTGATCCCACTCTGGTCCCATTGGGGTCCTATTGATCCCACTGGGGTTGGGTTGGTCCCACTGGGGATGTATCAGCCCCATTGTGGTCCCAATGGGGTCATATAGGTCCTAGAAGGGATGTATTCCCACTGGGGACATCTTTGTCCCCATTGGGGTCAAACTGAACCCATTGGGGACATTTTGGTCCTACTGGGGACGCACGCATCCCATTGGGGTCAAATTGTTTCTACAGGGTCCGTACTGTTCCTTAGGATTCCATACTGGTCCCTGTGGGTCCATACTTGTCCCTATGGCTCCACACGGACCCCTCCCTCTTTTGTCCCCCCCCTGTCCCTCCACCCTGTGCCAGTTTCGGTGCCACCTCCCCAGTGTCACCTGTCCCCACCCTGGCTGGTCCCGATGACCCCGTGGGCGGCCCCAGCCCCACCCCAGCATTCCCATCCCACTCCCAGTTCCACTGTCCCCATTCCGGTCCCAAGTTCCTCATTCAGTTCCCAGTGTCCCCATTCCCATGGGTGTCCCCATCCCAGTGACCCCAAAGTCTCCATCTGAGTGTCCCCATCCCTGTCCTTCTGGATGTCCCCAAGCAAATGTCCCCACTGTCCCCATCCCCAAAGTCCCCATCCCAACGTCCCCATCCCTGTCCTTGGAATTGTCCCCATCCCAGTGTCCCCAGGATCCCCATCCCAACACCCCCATCCCTGTCCTTCATGTTGTCCCCAACCAAATGTCCCCATAGATCCCATCCCCAGTGTCCCCATCCCTGTCCTTCTGGTTGTCCCCAACCAAATGTCCCCAATTTCCCCATCCCCAAAGTCCCCATCCCAAAGTCCCCATCCAAATGTCCCCAATCTCCCCATCCCAACATCCCCATCCCTATCCTTCTTGTCCCCATCCCAATGTCCCCAATCTCTCCATCCCCACTGTCCCCCATCCCAGTGTCCCCAATCTCCCCATCCCCAAAGTCCCCATCCCAACGTCCCCAAAATCCCCATCCCAACGTCCCCATCCCTGTCCTTGTAGTTGTCCCCATCCCATTGTCCCCAATCTCCCCATCCCCAGTGTCCCCATCCCTGTCCTTCTGGTTGTCCCCATCCCAACGTCCCCAATCTCCTCATCCCCACTGTCCCCCATCCCAATGTCCCCAGTCTCCCCATCCCAACGTCCCCATCCCTGTCCTTGTAGTTGTCCCCATCCCAATGTCCCCAAATCCTCCCATCCTCCAACCGTGGGTGCAGACCAGCCCAACCAGCTCATCCGGTGCTGTGACACCTATGGACACGTGTGGCCATACTGGGGACACGTGTGGCCACGGGGACGGTGACACGTGTGTCCCCATATCGGGACACGTGTGTCCACGGGGACAGGGAACAAGGATGGTGCCACGCTGCAAGGGCTTTATTGGGATCGTGGGGAGGGTGACAGCACCATCCCCTATTTGTCACATCCCCCACAGCCCGATTCCTGCCCCGATCCACTGCTGGATCCCGATTCGTAGGTCCCGGTCCCGGAGCTGTAAGCGTATCCTGCATTAGGACCGCGGCGGATGGGGATGTGACCCCCAGTCCTGGCTGGATCCCGAAGCCCTGGCACGAAGGGGATCCCAGGGTTCTTGTATACGGGGCGCAGGGATCCGCTTCCATAGGATCCCGATCCCCCATAGGATCCTGATCCGCCTCCGGAAGATCCTGATCCCCCATAGGATCCTGATCCGCCTCCGTAGGATCCCAATCCCCCATAGGATCCCGATCCGCCTCCGGAAGATCCCGATCCCCCATAGGATCCTGAGTCTTCTCCATAGGATCCCGAGTAACCCCCATAGGATCCTGAATCATCCCCATAGGATGAGGGGAGCCCGTAGGATCCTGAGCTGCCTCCATAGGAGCTTGATCCCCCATAGGACCCCGATCCGCTGCCTCCTTGGGATCCAGGTCTGCCTGATCCCGATCCTCCTTGGGATCCAGGTCTTCCTGATCCTGATCCTATTCCCCCTTGGGATCCAGGTCTCCCCGATCCCAATCCTCCTTGGGATCCAGGTCTCCCCGATCCCGATCCTCCTTGGGATCCAGGTCTTCCTGATCCTGATCCTCCTTGGGATCCAGGTCTGCCCGATCCCAATCCTCCTTGGGATCCAGGTCTGCCTGATCCTGATCCTGATCCTCCTTGGGATCCAGGTCTGCCTGATCCCGATCCTATTCCCCCTTGGGATCCAGGTCTTCCTGATCCTGATCCTCCTTGGGATCCAGGTCTTCCTGATCCTGATCCTCCTTGGGATCCAGGTCTGCCTGATCCCGATCCTCCTTGGGATCCAGGTCTTCCTGATCCTGATCCTATTCCCCCTTGGGATCCAGGTCTGCCTGATCCCGATCCCGATCCACTTCCCCCTTGGGATCCAGGTCTCCCCGATCCCGATCCCCCTTGGGATCCAGGTCTTCCCAATCCATAGGGCAGAAGTCCATAGGATCCTGGTGGCCCACCAGATTCCGGTGAGACAAAAGATCCTGATCCGTCCCCTTGGGATCCCGGTCGGCTTCCATAGGATCCTGGTTTACCTCCACTGGATTCCGGTGACACGTAGGACCCAGATCCACTTCCTCGTCCCGGGGATGGCCCCGATACACCCCCATAGGATCCTGATCCGCCCCCATAGGATCCTGAACTGCTCCCATAGGATCCGGAGTCACCGTAGGATCCCGATCCACCGCCATGGGATCCCGATCCACCTTGGGATCCCGGTCTGCCCCCATAGGATCCTGATCCACCTTGGGATCCCGGTCTGCCCCCATAGGATCCTGAGCTGCTCCCATAGGATCCGGAGTCACCGTAGGATCCCGATCCACCGCCATGGGATCCTGATCCACCTTGGGATCCCGGTCTGCCTCCATAGGATCCCAATCCACCTTGGGATCCTGGTCTGCCCCCATAGGATCCTGAGCTGCTCCCATAGGATCCGGAGTCACCGTAGGATCCCGATCCACCTTGGGATCCCGGTCTGCCCCCATAGGATCCCGAACTGCTCCCATAGGATCCCAATCCACCGCCATGGGATCCCGATCCACCTTGGGATCCCGGTCTGCCCCCATAGGATCCCGAACTGCTCCCATAGGATCCCGATCCACCGCCATGGGATCCCAATCCGCCATAGGATCCTGGTCCGCTGTAGGATCCCGAGCTGCTCCCATAGGATCCTGGTCCACTGTAGGATCCCACTCCCCCTCCGGAGGACCCCGCTGTGTCCCTCCCAGTTTGGGGGCTGAGGAATCCAGTGGGTTCCTTGCAGGGATCCACCCCGGCCATCAGCGGGCTCAGATGGGATCCCGAGTCACAGTCGGAGGCAGCGCCTGGAGAAGTGGAAGGGAGCCTTCCCAGTTCATCCCAGTCCATCCCAGTTTGTTCCAGTCCATCCCAGTTCATGCCAGTCCATCCCAGTTTGCTCCAGACCATCCCAGTTTGTTCTAGTCCATCCCAGTGCATCCTAGTTTATCCCATCTCACCCCAGTCCATCCCAGTCCATCCCAGTCCACCCCAGTCCATCCCATCTCACCCCAGTCCATTCCAGTCCATCCCAGTTTATCCCAGTACATCTCAGTCCATCCCAGATCACCCCAGTTTATCCCAGTCCATCCCAGATCACCCCAGTCCATCCCAGTCCATCCCAGATCACCTCAGCCCATCCCAGTTCACCCCAGCCCATCCCAGTCCATCCCAGTTCACCCCAGCCCATCCCAGTCTATCCCAGTCCATCCCATCTCACCCCAGTCTATCCCAGTTTGTCCCAATCCACCCCACTCCATCCCAGTTCCTCCCAGTTCTCCCCCACTCCATCCCAGTCCCTTCCAACTCTCCTCCAGCCCATCCCAGTCCCTCCCAATCCCCTCCCACTCCATCCCAGTCCCTCCTATTTCCCACCCCAGTCCCTCCCAGTTCTCCCAGTCCCTCCCAGTCCCTCACAACCCTCCCCCACT